GCGGGGACCGTGGGCGGGGGGTCTCCAGCCCCTGGCATCTTCGACGGGGCGGCGATGGGGATGGGGACCCCCCCGCCGGATATGCCACAGGTCTTTCTTTCCGTGGGGTTGGCACAGCTCATTCATCACCCGCTCCCTCCAGCCTGACCTCACGGAGCTGCCCAATGAACGTGGGGTCCGATGCTGCAGGGAGCCGTGGGTGTGTAATAGTTTCATGCCTGCACCGGGTGGGTACAGCTCTGGAAAAGCTGGTACGAATAACCTGCCTGCTTGTCCACTGATAGTTAACGGTGGTGTTCAGGGACGCAGGTTGCATGTTACTAATAACTTCATCCTGCCTCAGGTGGTTGTACAGGAACGGGGTAAAAACTGCAAGGCGGTGGACGGCAGATGGCTGAAATGCTGGTGCATGCTGTGCCTGTGTGACACCCACGGTGGGAGGGATGGATTGGGAACGTGCGTTTGTCCACGGGCGAAACTCCGCTGGGAAAATTGCTGTGGGTCACGAGGTGCTGTGGCTGGGCGCCACGCCGTGATATGCTGTGCTGTGCCAGCCCCTGCAGCAAGGACGGTGGGGTGTTACGGGGTGCTGCTTCGTGTCCCTCGCTCCTTATGAAACTCCCTTCCAGAAAGCAGGGAGGTGGAGTAGATGGGCGGCAGCACCCGCCCTGCACAGGTCACCCACCCGAGACTCGGCTTTTTAGGGCTTGCTGCAGAGAGCGCACTGGGCAGCCCCTGGGCAGGGTGAACTTGCCTGCAGGAGCATGGTCTCACTAGGGTGGCTCTGCTCCTGCTCATCCCGTGTTTGACATCCAGGTCCAAAGCCCTTGGGAGAGCTGATGGTCTTTGCTGTGTTTGCGCCCTGGGCAGTGCTGTCGGCTGGTGAGATGCTCCCCAGCCCTGGCCAGGCTCAGGAGCAGGCGTGCTGCACGCCAGCTTGCGCTCGGGTTCCTCTGCAGCTGCCATTAGGCAATCCCAGTGTATTTCTTTTTCCAACAGCTCCTTCTCTCTGCTAATGTGTGAAAGACCGACCCAGAGAGGAAGCTGACTCACCAGGCAGAGGAATGGTAAAACGGCATTGATACAAAACAAGCTGAGAGAACCCAGAAGTGATTTTCATTTTTAGAAGGGTAACAAAAAGAGGGAGAAAAACAAGGGAGGGTAAAGTTTTGGAGAGATGCGTGCTCTGACAGGGTCATTGCACGCAGCCCTGTGCAATTTAAAAACATCCAGATTTCCTTTTATAAATAAAAAGGACAATGATACTTCCTTTGGAGGGAGGCTCAAAATCCCGGTGACTGCTTTGGCTGAAGGACAAAACACCTGGGTGAAATGCAAGCAGAGGTGCAGCGTGCAGGAGCGGGGCAGTGCAGTGGGACTGCATGCCCACCCAGGTGGGCATTGCACGATCAAGGTCTAAACAAGTGGCTTTCCTGGATTTTATATTTCAGTTCATACTCTTGCTGTAGAGCTTCTCTGGGGACACTGGAGAAGGAAGAAGGGGCTGTGAACAGAGTTAGCTGAAGGTATTTCCCAAAGTGCATCGGGTAAATTCAGTTTCCCAAAGGAAACAACACTGAGAAATGTGGATAAAATTACTCAGAAGTAAATCAGCCTTAGTTTGGTACAGCTGGCATGATGTTCAGGTCCCACCTTTGACTCAGCCTCTAGTTACAGCTCTCAGTAAGCTGCAGCTGTTTGCTTTTTTTTTTTTGCTATCTGCTTTGGACAAGCTGTTACACGATGGCGCTATGGTGTGCCAGCTCCGGGGGAAACTAGGTGGAAGTAGACTCTCCTCCCGAGTTTATCATCTGCGCCACTGGCTTTGCATTTTAGGGGGACTGCAGCCCTTCGATACAAACAGCTGCATTACAGAATCGTTGTCCCAAAGGGACCCATCAGTCCCGTGTTTATAGAGTAATCTTGGTCCAAGGATGGCAGGCAGGCGTCAATGCACAGGGGATTTTCCTGCTTGCCGTTGCAAGATGTAAAGTAGCCATGGCTGTGGGGTTCAGGCTCGGGCGGCATGGAGGACTCCAGCCGCCGGAGGAAGCCCGAGCTGCCCGGAGTGGAGGGCGTGCCTGGCTTGCCACCGGTGTTGGCAATCTTGGGAAACCAGGACTTTGCTTTGCAGCTGAGCGAAGCAGCTGAACGCATGGCTGCTGCTGAAGTGTTTGAAGTTTTGCTACAGCGACCCTATGAGTACATCCGCTACTGCACAATTGTCTGTTAATTAGTGTCTTGCTTAGTGAGTGGCTGCTCTGGTGTAGGAAGGGGCCTCTTTAAGATCTTGGAAGACTTAGGAACTGTGTTTTTGGTGCTCAGCAGGGGTGATGGAGGGTGGTGATCAAATTCCTTGGCCCGTACTTGCCCCGATACCCAGGTTGTCTCTGGTGTTGGCAGCATCCCGGGGTCTTAGCAGGACCCAGCAGTTAATTTGCAATACAACTTAATTTCTTTTCCCAGTGGCTTTGACTGAGGGTCTGCATCCCCCCAGGGACACGTGGGTCTTGTGTCTATCCCACCACTCCCTTTAATGTGCTTCGTTGGAGGCAGAAGTGGCTCCTGTCCCCTCCTCATGACGGATTGATTTCATTTGCTAGCGTCGACCAAAGTGAGCACAAAAAAAAGGCCAAAGAGGTTGTGGGCTGTGCATTCATCAAAAAGGTGAAGTTAAAAACACCTGCCTGTTGAAGCTGAGCCCAGGAGATGCAACCTGCCAGCCCTTTGGTTTTCCATAGGGTCAGTGCTATATCTTTATGTGCAGGAGCAGCCGCGAAGCTCTGGCTGTGGCAGTTTGCCCCAGTGCTGGCTGCCGCCCCGCAGATGGACCCCGCTGTCCATCCAGCAAGCAGGTCATGGCCCGAATTTGGGGCCACACCAGGCTCCAGTTCCCCAAAGTGACGTCCTGCCAGTGGGGATGGGGTGGGAGCAAGGGCCCTGGATGCAGCATCCGCATCGGGAAAGAGGTCCCGGGGTCCCAAAACCGGGGTGACATCTGGCCCTGGCTGGCTGAGGTTGTTGCAACTTAACTGCACTGGTGTGCAGGCGGCTCTGCGGTCGGTGCCCTGTTAACCACCTGGGGTTTCTCCTCTCCGTTAACTCCAGATTGCATTGCTGTAGCCTAAATAAAAAAATCATTTAGAAGGTTGAGCCATGGGGCAGAAAGTCCAGGGTTGTCGAGCAGGGTCTGGAGGTTGCCAAGCGCTGTGTTTGGGAACAGCCTCTCCTCCAGCCCGTCCTGCCTCATCCTGGGTGGCTGTTTTGTCAGTCGTGGCCTCAGGGGCAAGAGATGTCCCTCAGGGCTGTAACTTGGTGTTGCTTTGATAAGGAGGGATGGCTGCAGATCTGGGTCACATCAGGGAAGCCACAGAGAGCCTGAAATCCTGTGTGTTAAAGGGTGGATTAAACTCACGGTCATTAGATTAATGGGATTAAGCCTGTGAGTCAAGAGGCTGTTTTGCACAGAGCTCAGCACTGCCAGGGGCACGCGCTGGCCCAGCTCAGGCAGCACGAGTAGTGGCTAAGGAGCCCCTTGCTACCTGGAGTAACTGCAGAGCAATGCTTGCAACCCCTCTCTGCACCCGGCCATAGCAATGGGGATTTTGGTGCTTGCGTAGGTGCTGTGCAGTGCAGTAGGGGTGAGCCCCCGCTCCTCACGCGGGAGGACCGGGATCTGCAGGGAGCTGCTGGGCAGGGACCGGCATCTTCCACCCTGCTCGGGAAGGACTGCCCAAACCCTGCTCCCCTTTGGCTTGCGGCTGGGGAGTGTGTCACCAAGGAGGCTTGCATGGAGCACGTTGGGCTCTGGGGCTGACGGCTGGTGTGGCTGGGAAGAGGATGGCAAATGTGAAAATTGGAGATAAAGGCTGCCTTGAAGAAATGCCGTGGCAGCAGGGCTGTGCTGCAGGGATTATGCACTCCCTGGTGTTGGGGGGCCAGGGGACCGAGCAGCTCTGCAGGTCCTTCATGCAAAATATGTGCCCATTCCTCCTTGGCAAGAGGAGGGGTGGTGGTGCTGCATGTGCTTTGGAGGAGGCTGAGCAGGGAGGGAGAGGCTGGAGGGGCTTCAGTAGCTGTCTGGAAGCAGTCAGCACCCTGTGCTGGTGCATGGACCCCTGTAGTAGTGCATTCCCCCCATGCCAGTGCATGACCCCTGTGCTGGTGTCTGCCCCCCATGTTGCTGTGTGCACCACATGCCCGTGTGTGCACCCACATGCTGGTGTATGCCCCCCTGTGCCAGTGCATGCCCCCCACGCTGGTGTGTCTCCTTGGCACGCACAGGCAGGCACGGAAGAGCAGCTTCCCCGGCAGCAGGAGTCGTCCATCGCGGAGCAGTGGAGAGCTGTCCACCCATACCGGGGGCGTGGGAAAACTGCAGCCTCTGTGATGCAGAGCTGTGGGCCTCTGCTGTATTTCCAGACTTCACAGCTGTGGCTCGGTGTTTTTTGGTTTGCAGCACCAGACCCAGCTCCAGCAGCCCTGCTGAGCAGCAGCCGGTCCCTTGGATGGCCAGCTCTCCTTGGGGCAACAGCGGGACCTTCTGCTGCAGCTCCAGCCTGTGCGGCCACCGTGCTGTGCCCTGGGAACAACTCTGCCCTGCTGGCAAGTGCGTTCCCTGCAAGCCTGTGGCAGTGTGCAGGCCATGTGAATAAATATTAAAAAATGTAGGTGGATGTGATAATATTTATGCCCTAGCAGGTCTCCATGCTGGCTGCATAAGACATCATGTATTATTTCCATCCCCGTGTCCTTTGCTTCCTCAAGCAGGAGAGCTGCCAGCAGTGCTGGCGACGTATGGGCAGTGACAAAAAACTTGTCACTGAAAAAAGGTATTTTCTTCTCGCTGCGCCTGGCAGCCACCGTGGCTCTGAGCAAAAAGCTGCTCAGCAGGGTGAGCTGAAATGCCTTTATGGAGCGGAGGGAGGGGGACACTTCTTGGTGCTGTCCCCGCAGTGACTCAGCCCTGCAGGCTGGTGAGTCAGCGCCCGCTGCCTGCCCAGTTTCCGAGACTGGCAGCCCCGACCTGCCCCGCTTTCCTGCCAAGCATCATCCCCAGACCATTTCGGGAGCCTGCAAGGTTTCCTGTGCATGCCCCAGCCCCACGCTCCCAGGGGAATCTGTGCAGATTGCGTCAGGCTCCCCCGTTAGATCAGATGAAGTCTCTCCAGGAACTGTGTATCTTGCAAAAAACCCCCTCCTGCAGCTCAGGAATTCAGCCCGTGGCCAGGTGCACATGCATGCCTGGTCTGACATCTTGCTGCAGTCTGGAAAACCAGAGCCTGCCTCCAAATGCAGGATCCTGTGGGTTTTTTTAGAGAGGACTCACACTTTGGGAGGGCTAAAATGTGCTGTCCTCAGCAAAAATCTTGCAAAAATTGATTGCAAAATTGTTCATTTCTGGTGACAAATGCTGTTTCAGCTGCTGTCAGAAGAGAGCAGAAGAGGTGTTGATTGGGTCCTGGTCCAAGAGGAAAAGGCCGGACCTCTTCTGGTGGCAGGATCAGGACTTGTCACATGCAATGGCAAAGAATATTTGCATTTTCCAAACAGTTTCTTTGTGTCTCCGAGTGGCTAAAAGAAAATCGCAAGCAAATTGTAATGTAAGAAGCAACTGAATTTATTGCATCTCTCCTTGAAATAACATCTGCTGTACCCCAGCTGCAATATAAATATAAGCAGAATAAACCCTTATTACATTGGCTGCTGGCAGCGGCTGCCTGGGTGATGCCAAGCTGCCATGAAGGTGGATCCAGACACTGTTACCTGTGCAAAAACTACCACTGGCTGCTCCTCCAGTGCTGTCGGCTCCAGCTGAGTGATGCGGGGGAGACCCAGGCAGGAGCCTGGTAAGGTATATTTACCTTGCAGTTACACTGCAATTATGTTCTCAAGGATTTGATCTTGGAAATAATCTTCTTATCTGAGCGTATCTTAAGTTGAGGCTCTGAAGTCTTAAAACCGTTTGGATGGGAAGCCGTCCTCTGCTTTCAGCAGCAATTTAACAAACTCTTTGAGGTTTGGGTTTCGCATGAGCTTGCTGGTGATGCCTGTTTACTGCTGCATTTCGCACGTGAAATGGTGAATTTGCACCTCTTCAGATTGTTTATAAATGATGACGCCAGGTTTTCCTGATGATGGTTGTACATGGAAACTTTGTGCCTATGAGCTAAATGCTGCCAGATCTGCAAGCATTGCTCATATGCATCATTTGTCCTCATGGCTTTACTGGAAACCTCCTCCAAGGCACAAGAATTTGCAGCTGTGGCTCTGCGTATAGGAATAGGCGTTATTGGCATCCTGTATTTGGCACTGACATTGCTTTAAAGCAAGCAGTGAGCCAGGCAGCGGGATGTTGGCCAGATCTGCGGTCTGGGATGGGGTGACCATCCCGCCGTTGGAGGTATGCGGAGGTTGGCTGCATCCCTTGCAGCTGATCCAGTGTCTTCGTGACATTTAATATCCATGCCAGTGTCACCCGTAACCACACCGGTGCCTTCTCCAAAACCAAAGGAGCTTTGTGCGTAGCACACGGTGTGCATGGCCGGTGTGGCAGGGATGGCGCTGGTGCCCCTTGCCACTGTCAGCTGGCTCACAGGGCTGCGAGGGCTTGCCTGGTGTTCCTGCTCTCAGGTATTTCAGGCATTTGCATTTCTACACCAAAAGGACCACGTGGCCCCCAGCTATCAGGAGCAGCAGCTGTGAGCAGAGGGATGCTGCCGAAAGGCTCCTGGATGAGTGATTTGGGAGGACAGGCAGAATTTGAGGGGGGAGCGATATTTTTAAGTGGAAATGTCATGCTTTTTTTTTTTTTTATTCTCTTGAACAGAAGTTGGCGTCTTGGCAAAGCAGTACCTTGAGCGAGGCCTTCTGGTGCCGGACCATGTCATCACACGCGTGATGATGACAGAGCTGGAGAAGCGGCAAGAGCAGCACTGGCTGCTGGATGGTGAGTGCGCTGCTGGCATCCCCTCTGGACAGGCAAGTCCCAGCCCCCTTTAAAACATTATTTTGCTGTTAATGGTTTCGCAGCACCAGGAAAGACAAAAAACAGAAGGTGCCTTTACCGGTCCTGCCGGCCATAGGAGGAGAGGCAGGAGCCAACCTGCTGGCAGAGACATCTGCCTGCGGGTGTTTCTTCCCTCTGCCCTGAGCAGCAGCACGTGCGTGTCCAGCTGAGCCCTTGGCACGCATCGGAGAAAGGGAAAGGCAGGGAAAGGAGATGGGTGTTTCATAAAACGGAGCCAGTGAGCAGAGCAGGGCTGGAGGCAAGCCAAGAAAAACCTCTTACCGCCTCTGTAGGTGTGCAAAGGAGCTACTCATCCCAAGCCCGAAAGCCACCTGAGGTGCGGGTGGAGAAGACACTGAGAGCAAACCAGCAAGGCAGGCAGTGAGAGGAGCAGCAGAGGGTTCGCCAAGAGCTCCTGCAGCCCTCGGTGGAGAAACTGCATGCCAGCAGCTGTAGTGCATCGCTGCTTGTGGCCTGAGAGCTGGCAAGTGCCAATGGAAGCTCTAGAAATCGCTTTGGGGCTTGGTTAGGGGATGGGACAGGGCTCAGTGGGTCGCACTTACCTGCGGTGTTGGGCACAAGCAAGTGTGACATGTGGTGACGAGTGGCCATGGCTGTTATAGGGGGAGAAACCCTCCCTTGCCAATCTGCTGAAGCTCTTTGAAAGAGTCAGTGAATACATAGATAAGACTGAGCCAGTTGATTTCTAACAGACTTGGGCTTTCGGAGAGCTCTCAGGCTCCTGATAGGGAAAATACAAAATAGTTTACAACTAAAATAAGTCTGCAGTTTAGTGCCATGGACTGGAGGGCTGGTGGAGCCAGGCTTCTTCCCCACGTGGCCCTGGGTGGCCCCAGCGGAGGGGTGGCTTGTGCTGGGGCTTGGGGTCTGGCCGAGCTCTTCTCACCCCAGCGGGCACCGGGGATCTGGAGGCATTGGCACCAGGGGTCTGGCAGTGTCACCCCACTGGGCTCACAGGGAGGATGTCAGAGACTTCAAGCCCTGTAGGTTCATGCTGCCTTGAAGATGCCTGTGAATCCCCACTATTAAAATTTCATTATTCTTACCGTAATGCCACTTAATTCATCTGGGAACATGGTGATTAACAAATATTACAGCAACAAGCACTGCGTAAACAAGTACATATTTCGTTGTATTAGAACTCTGGCGTTTCAACACATTCAGGGGGGTTTGCATCGACACGCTCAGATCCGGGTTCTTGCAGCTCGGGATGTTGATTTATCGTGGTATGACCCCCAGCAGCCTGGCCCGGGGACCAGCTCCTGTTTCGTCACAGCTTTGCATCCAGAGGTCCCACTGAGGGTGCCACAAGGGTGAAGCAATTCTGGCCATGGGCTGGTAACGAGGATTTCAGGAACCACCTGCTTTATGTGCTGACCTCCACTCACACCAAGACGTTTGAGGGACGGGCTGCCCCTGAAGCTAAAATCTGAATGCAGGCAGCAGCGATGCTGGCAGCCCTGTGCTGTCACGTTCTTCATCCTAATTTTGGGGGAACTCATCTGCCTGAGGGCGCGAGCGGTAGGTGCAGTCAGAGCCCCACTCCAGCAGTACTGTGACAAGGAGCGTATTTATTTCAAGTGGTCCATTTGATAACATAAATAACAGATTGACTTTACTTGGTAAGACAGACTAAATGTATTCTTTCTCATAATGGCCGATTCATTCTCTGTGCCGATGTCCTGACAAGCTCTCGGCTAATAATACTCTGCTTGGGAAAAGCCTGGGAGGTCTTTTAGAGGGTTTTATGGAAGTAAAAAAAGGTTAAAAAAATGAAAAAAGGGTGTTGTCAGCAGAGAAAACTGGAGAGGGGACCAGCTTGGAGTCACCCCTGGTTGCAGTCTGGTGGTAAGAGCGGATGCTCCCAACCGCTCGCTGGCTTTTCCAAACAAAAGGTACCGCCCGGTACCTTCGGAGGACAAGGGTTTCAGAGAGCTGGGTGATGGTTGTACAAACCATTTTATCACAATATTCTTGATGTCCTCCATGTAAACCAGCGGTGTGTTACTCATCTATGCACAGCGTTTTGTTTCTTTCAGGTTTTTCTTTGTAATTCCAGCATTTATCCCTGTTTTGTTGTTGCCTGTGCCCTCTTACTTGCCTCCAGCTCTTGTGCAGGGACACCAGCCCTGCACCAGACAGGACTTTGCAGGAAAACATGAGCCCACGGCGACCTGTGTGATGTATTTTGGGAGTCGGTGCTGTAGGAGCTATTTTTTATTGTAGCCATATGGTGGATGCCTGTCTTTCACACCGCTTGTGCTATAGTGAGGAGCCACGGTGGTTTTGCAGCTCCGGGGCTGTGTGGCGGGTGGTTTTGCCTCCATCACTGCTGCTTTCCTGGCTCTCATGACAGCCCCTTTCTGTTGTGGTGCCTGCACAGGTTTCCCTCGGACGCTGGGGCAAGCCGAGGCACTGGACAGGATCTGCGAGCTGGACCTGGTGATCAGTTTGAACATACCCTTCGAGACGCTGAAGGATCGCCTGAGTGCCCGCTGGGTCCACCCGGCCAGCGGGAGGGTGTACAACATGGACTTCAACCCCCCCCATGTCCAGGTAAGAGCCCGTCGCATTGCGGTGGTGGCAGCTGGGAGCAATTTACAGAAGGAAAAGATCAGAGAAGCCTTTCTCTGCGTGAGCTAAGATCATAAAAAAGCATTGGGGAAGAAATCCCAGATAGTAAGCACTGAGCACCGGAGGGCTTTGCCCTTGGGAGCCAGCCTGAAGGAGTTGTGCTAAATGTTAATTAGGAAAATGAGATTTATGTTAAATGCCATCCGAGGATGCTCGATCAATGCAGAGCAGGATGAGGCATTTGGCAGTGGTTGCGTGGCAGGGAGCTGTAGCGTGGGCGATGGGGCCGGTGGCTGCATCCCCTTGATGGTGTTTGCCTTCCTGCAGGGCGTCGATGACCTGACGGGCGAGGCGCTGGTCCAGCGCGAGGACGACAAACCCGAGGCTGTTGCTGCCAGGCTCAGAAAATACAAAGATGCCGCAAAGCCAGTAATAGAGTTGTACAAGTGAGTTGGACCATGCGAATAAATCATGGCCTGCCCATAAAAACAGGCACAAGTGCCGTTTCCACCAGCCAATCCCATGCCCCCATCCCGACAGCCCAAGGAGCCCCGGCATGGCCCCTGACAGATTTTGGGTGGCAGATCACTGCACTCAGCGGCACAAAGCCCAGCCCTTCATTGCAGCCAAGCCCTGGCCCTGTTTGGAGGGAGGAGGCTGATGTAGAGAAATTCACAGCTCCTGTTTGTCTTGCTGGGCTCCACAAACAGCTTTGCCGGTGCTGGCGATGGGAGGGATTTTTTGGTTGCAGTAGAAGGCACTTGCAAATCCCTTCTGCCTCCCAGCTCTGCTGCGCAGGGTGGAAGCCTATTTGCTTTGCAGAGGTGCTGCTCATCAGCGCTACGAAACCCAACCAGTTAAGAGCTTTAGCTTCCTTTTGGGTGAGTGTCCTCCAGCACAAGAGATGGAGAAGCTCTGAGATGCCTCAGACCCTGCCCTGCCCACGCAGAGCTGTCGCTGAGCAAGCCGAGGGTCTGCGGGTGGGTGGGGATGGTGATGTTGCAGAGAGCAGCTCCCTTCCTGCACGCACCTGCGAGCTGCTTTCTACCCTGCTTCAAACCAACCCGTTTGCCCTGTGCTGTGCAGATCCAGGGCAGCACGTGCTGTGCAGTCACCCTGCAAAAAATCAGTCCAGGGCTCCGAGGCATTTAGGGTACAGGGAGATTGGCAAGAGGGCAGGAGAAGGGTGAGGCCCCGGGGCTGGCTCAGATGTGTCTGCTGTGAGCACAGACATGTTTCAGGGCTCATCCCTTCTGCACTGCTGGTAGTTTGGGGCAGTCATCCCCTGGCTGAGTTGGGAATAGACGGATTGCCGTAGGGTGGCAATCCACTGCTGAAAGGGAATGAGCACCCAAGAGCGTTTTTAAAAGCAGAAGTGGTCCATGGGGGGCCAAAAGCGCCCTTGCAGGGGAGGGGGAAGAATTGGGGCCCTGAATTTCCCACTCGCTTACGCACATGAATAAATCCTGCTGATTTATGTCTATAAAGCACTTCAGAGAACGAGTGGTCTTTAGGGGGATGAGGATGAGCTCTCCTCCTGAGTACTATGTGGTTATCCGTGGTTATCTGGGATTGGCTCATCCATGTGCAAGTGCAGCTGGGCTCCTCCCAGCAAACGCTGCGGACAGGAGCAGCCACTGCTTGTCCCCTTTATCCCCCTCCTCTTGCCCAAAAAGCCGTTGGTGAGCTTCCAGCCTGGCCGGGCTGTCTCCTGCTGACGGCCAACCTGACTGCAAATGCCCCTGTCCTCAGGACTGCAAATACCCCTGGTACTGACTTCTCCTTCCATCTCTCTTCCAGGAGCAGGGGCATCCTTCACTCCTTCTCGGGGACAGAGACCAACAAGATCTGGCCATATGTGTACACCCTGCTTTCCAGCAAGATCCCACCCATTCTCTCAGACGAAGAGAACTAAACAGGTTGTGCCAAGGACCAAGAGTTAACGCCATCATGGATTTGGTTTCTCTGCGCCGTGCTGGGGCTGTGCTCAGATTAGGTGATCGTGCGGTATCTAAAGTCCCTTCCCCGGGTGTATTGGACGACATTGGTGGATACATGGTTATAGCCAGTATCGGGGCAAAAGGATCTTTGCTTATAAGGTCAAGTCTGCTAGAATAAGGGTTTTTTTCTCCTTTGAGGCTATAAAGTATTCCTGCCTACGGTCCAAGTACACACAGAGATCAGTGATGCAAACCTGGGTAATGATCATGTGAGGTTTACACAGCTTGCCATGACGTCCCTGCCACCCCCACACAAACCTCAGTCTCAGAGCCTATAATGTGCCATACCGTTGCTCCACAGTACCGTTTACCGCAGATTATTCTCTAGGTTGTTTTTTTTTAATATAAATTATTCTCTATTAAATTTATTTCTCAGAGAAATAAGGCTCTAAAAAGCAAGACTTAGCCCAGTGGGAATTGCTGAGCAACATGGAAAACATTTACACTACAAAGCTCAGAAACACGAAGATCACATTTCCAGTATTAATACACACACAAGAGGGAAAACATTGGAGGTAAAACACACACTTGTGCTTCTTCCATGGAGAGAGATGAAAGCCCTGTTATAAAAAGCTGCTGTACAGTCTAGTTTTCATGAGATGCTGTGACACTGAGCAGGATCTGTGCTGGGGATGAGTTGCACTCCTTTGTGCTTACCTTGTTTATAGCTTTTAATACTCCGAGATACGGTCATGTTATGAGTTTCTCCCAAAGATTTATTTTAATGTGTGCTTCAGTTTTGGGGAGAAATCGAGTCATTCCATCTTCTGTGCTGCCTTTGTCCCTGAGGTCCCCTGGAGATGAGGTGTTCCCTAAGTGGTACCTGCTGTGGCTGCAGCATCTCCAACAGGAGCGGCTCCCTCCCCACGAACCCCCGGAGGGGTGAGAGCCTTCCCTTCCCCAGGACGCGTGCAGGGGCTGCCAAGGGCCGTGCCCAGGCATTTCCCCAAGATTTACAGCATCATCTGAGCATGTCGCTCCTCTTCTCGCGTGCAGCTTTGCGGCCAGGTGGAGTGGCTTTTCTCAACTGGAAGTACTGTAACCCTCTTTGGTGGTAGGATGCAGTACCTAAGCCATGGGGATGTTCTTTTTGTCTCCTCGAGTTGCCTTATTTTATAGAATATATATTTAAGAAAAAAGCAAGATGTGTATTTTTAAAGGTTTAAAAAAAAACCCGCTGAATTTTAGCATCGACTTTTGGGAACTCTGCACAAAGCTGCTTGCGTTTGCAGAGCATGCTGCAGTCTGCCATGGGTGGCTCAGCAGGGAGGCAGAAAAGCTGTCACTCCCCTACACCCATTTGATTAATTAGAGCAGCCTGGGCAAGTTTCTGTTGCTGAAATGTCGCTGTTTTTATTTCTGCTTGGAGAGTGGCCCTGCAGCAGGGGAGGGGGAGCTGACTGGCTTTTTTAGGGATGCACGGGCTCCATGTGCAAAACTTCAGCACGTCCCAGGACTCTTTTATCCCTGCTGAGCCACCTGCATCTGCATGCTATCAGAGGAGCCCCTGATGTTTGCTCTCTCAGTCGGAGGCAGCTTTGCCCTGGCACTCCTCTGATAATGGAGCCAGAAGCCATCGGGCATCTGCCGAGCAGGATCTCTGCCCAAGTGCTGCCTGCTCGTCGCCTGCCTGCCGGTGAAAACGATGATGCAGTGGCAGCAGGGGAGGGCTCCGCATCCCACTCTGGATGGGAATTTCCTAGGTGGGAGTGGAGGGACCGTCGGGTTTCACTGCTGTCCTTGGGGGCCTCTCCAGGTCCCTGGAGCTCCCGGGCTGGGAGGATGCAAATCTTCCACCCTGCAATGAAATCCTATTTAAGAAAGATTTTAGATTTTCCCATGACCCTTGGACGAAAGTCTGGGCTGTTTTTAAACACAAATCTAGGAACAGCCAGAATGTGTATGCTGTTTTCTTTCTAAGAGTGTTGGGCAGGAGGGGAGGAGATGATGGGGGGGAGGGTTTAGGCTATAAAAGCAGCCTGGCCGCGGTGGGCGGCTCTGCCGGGGCCGAGTGCCGGGCAGGGGGGCTGCTCCCTGCTTTCCCTTGCCTAGCTCTAGTGTCTCATCCTTCCCTGCTGCAAAATGCCTCCTGCAGTGAGGCTTGCCCCGTGCAGCGCCCAGCGGCAGGACAGGGCTTGCAGATGTCTTTGCCCCGGGAGAGCTGCCCGAGTGCTTGTTTTAAAGGCTTTGAGCCCCATAGTAGATGTAGAAATCTCGTGACTGTGCATGCGTTGAGCCCTCAGGATAGATTTTTCTACAAGAGTTGTCATATGGTGCATTTTCATAGACCAAATACCGGCAGAGGTGAGGTCCTGGAGCGACGTGTCCCTCGCCTTTCGTCCCTGCCGTGCTCCCCTTTGGTACTTTACTGTGAATCTCACACCTTTTCTAAAGCGACAGCAATTTTGTACCGACCCAAAATACTGTGTGGTGGGAGGAGGGTCTCCCCGCGCATGGGGCACCACTGGCATGTCACACCAAGTTTTCTTCCTGGAGTTTCTTCCCGGTGAATTGCTGCAGCTGTGTTACTGCTCAAAAGATGTAAATAAATTTTTTCTCCTGCTTATCCCTGTGCTGGCAGTGTCTGTGTGTGAGTTGTACCTCATCTCTGCTGAAAGCCGAGCTCTGCACGAGCCCTTGCCCTGCGCCGAGGCTGCGGGACATGCCTGCAGGTAGCAGGTCATTTTGACCTGGGGTTTCTTTGTAGGAGCCGAGGAGGAGGAGAAGGAGGAGGGGGGGGGAAGAAGAGGAGTCAGACCATCCCCACTTGAACACAGGAGAAAATCCCTCAGCAAAGGGGGTCCCCCAGGTTTTGGGCTTGGGCACAATACTGCTGTTTGGATCCTGTCTTACAGCCAATTCCTTTATTTCATATAATCCAAAATATTGGTTAAAAAGCCAGTTCTGACAGTGTGGATGAAGCCAGTTGCTCCTGCCCTCCCGTCCTTGTTGCACGTAAAGTGGTTTTTATTTTCCTATTTAACTTCCCCCAGTAAATGTAATGGAGAGCATTAGGCACAGCAAGGCTCTGGCTATTGCTCGTGCCCTGTGTAATCTATTACGTGCATTCTGGTAGAGGGAATTAAAAGCCGTAAGCTGAAGTGCCTTTGCCCATCACTACCAGCTTGCAGATCCAATAATTTTTTGCTTTTTTCTTTAATTCCCAAATAGCAGCTTCGGGGCCCTCGGGGCCCTATTTGGCATAAGCAAAGACTCTGAAATTAGGGAGAAATTAAAAAAAGGGTGATAAGCAGTGAAACTGCTGCCGGGAGGTGAGAAAGCAGAGGCATGGCAGTGGGTTGGCCTTGGCACCCACAGGTGAAGGAGCTGAACCCAGCGGGAGGGATGCGGGTGATGCCGGGGTTCAGGGTCCTGGCAATTGGGAGGCAGAGAAGGGATGTATTGCCTCCGTGCAGCTCCGTCTGAGGGTGAAAGGGCAGATAAATACAAGGAGGAAAAACAGCTACGTAAGCTAGAAAATGAACTCAGTCTAAAAACAAAAGTTAGAGTTTGGAGGTCAAAAAGTAAAGGAATATGAGAGAAGTGCCAAAATCAAGCTGAGACCAAAGCCTTGGCTTTCCCCAAGTGCTGTCAGGGGAGCTGGGGTGGCACAAGGGTCGGTGTCCCCGTCCCTACAGCCTGACCCACAGCACACGCTGGGGTGCCTCTGGCTGCCTCAAGCAGGGGGGCTTCTCCCCAGCTGCAGGGGACATGAACCCAAACCCTGCATGGCCGGGGATGCAAACAAAGCACCCTGGCACCTGCAAAGCAGCGTATCCCTGCAGGGCTGCTAAATATTTCTTTGCATTTCAGAACAACACTGAAAGCATTAAAATTCCCACCTTTCTCTTATATTTGTATATATTTGTGCAATACCAATCCCTTCATGTAAGGTTTGTATTTGCTTTCTGCACTCCATGCTGCTTATTTACAGCCCAGTTATTTTAACTTGTCCTTTCGCATATCTGCCCCTGGGGACCTGTGCGTTGAACTCCTCCATCATTTCCCCATCAGTCATTACACCGCTCTGCTTCCCCTGGGCGTTGTGCGGGGAGATTAAAGCTTCTGGGATGCTCTGATACGGTGGGGATAGGGGATACCCAAGGAAGATAACTGGAATTACAGGTGACTGCTTGGAAGAAATGACAGTGATAGCTGGTAACGCCGTTGCATCTGTAGTTATGCTGTGATAAAGATTTGGGGGCAATTAATAGTGTGTTTATAGCATCAGCTAGCGCTAGCCTGCCGGGGTACCCAGGGAAGTGCCCCAGGTGAGCCTCGACCAGCACGCCACCCTGTTCCCAGCTCTGCAAAGCTTTGACACGCCGCATCCCCGTTGAGTCTGTCCAAAGGAATTAACCTGCTCCAAAAAGAAAAAAATCGGGGGGGGGGGGGGGGGGGAGATTGCTTAGGTTTGCACTTGATGGATCAGACCTGCAGACTCCTGATCCCACTCCATGCCACATTTTAGAAGATGTGATATGTCTGCCTCCATCCTCATCTTTTCCTGAGTCTCTGTAATCCCAAATATAACCCGGCAGGGCCCAGAGCAGCGTGCAGTTCCCAGTCAGCAGCGTCCCAGCCCGTGGCTGTTGCCCCGTGACCCGGGACTGTTGCTGAATGACGAGTCGAAAGCCGGCGTGCGGGAGCGCAGCCGGGCTCCCCGCCGCTCTGCCGCAGGAGCCGGGAGAGGAGGATGCACGCATCTGAAAAGCAAGGTAAGGAAAGCTTAGCCATGAGTGGGGTGCGATGGAAGAAGAGCGAGACGGTGCACAATCAAATATGGGATGTTGTTTACAGCAGATTTGTGCTGAGTAATCATTGGGAAGGCACGCTCGGATCCTGCAGCTCAGGATAAAGCAAAAAATCCTGCTTTAAAGCCTGGTTATATAATAGGTTTGAGGGAAGATATTGCACTGAAAACTGCTCCTCTTGGCAGTGTAGCACATATTGCTGTCTGAGGGCAAGTTAAGGTGCTGAAATTCAGCTATGTGTACATGGGCATATAGCATTTAATAACGTCAGGCTGCCTCCTGCTCTGGATACCTCGATAACTCCATGCAGAACATGAGCATCTCTTCTTGTACCCCAAAATAGGTGTTTGTGTATTTTAGGACTGTGAAAGCTATTTGGGCATATTAACTTCAATGAAGAAAAACAAAGTGATTTTTAGATTTCAAATAATAATTGTAGCTTATATCTGAACATAGCTGTACTTCCTACAGGAAGGGTAATTGGGTGTGTATGTGAGTATATAAATGCTGCTATGGAATACTGATATCCAGCCTTTTGCAGTGCATCCACTGTGAAGCTGACCTTCAAACCTCCCCATTTTATTATGCCAAGACAAACACAGAGCTTCATTCCCTTTAAAAACCCTACTTTGGGCCAGAAAAGATTAAAAAAAAATATAGCTAAATGCATACACCATTGCATTTGCCTTCAGTCTTGCTGAGGCAGCCCCAGGCAGGTGCTCCGGGAGGGGACGGCAGGGACGGGGCGGCCGTCAGGGCTGCCTGCTCCCCATGGCACTGCTGCTTCAGGTAGGTGTTTATCCCCCTCAGCATCACCTTGGGAGCGCTGCGACTTTAAATCAGGAAGTATACAATGTCTTGCTGATGTCTTTGTGGCTGTTGTTACTATAGTCTTATTTTGGATAATGCCAAGGAGAGGAGGAGGAGGAAAGAGAGGAGGAGGAGGACAGAGAGGAGGAGGAGGAGGACAGAGAGGAGGAGGAGGAGGACAGAGAGGAGGAGGAGGAGGACAGAGAGGAGGAGGAGGACAGAGAGGAGGAGGAGGACAGAGAGGAGGAGGAGGACAGAGAGGAGGAGGAGGAAAGAGAGGAGGAGGAGGACAGAGAGGAGGAGGAGGAAAGAGAGGAGGAGGAGGAAAGAGAGGAGGAGGAGGAGGAGGACAGAGAGGAGGAGGAGGACAGAGAGGAGGAGGAGGAAAGAGAGGAGGAGGAGGACAGAGAGGAGGAGGAGGACAGAGAGGAGGAGGAGGAGGAGGACAGAGAGGAGGAGGAGGAAAGAGAGGAGGAGGAGGAAAGAGAGGAGGAGGAGGAAAGAGAGGAGGAGGAGGAAAGAGAGGAGGAGGAGGGGGAGGAGGGCGAGGAGAGGAGGGCGAGGAATATTTTGGACAGGCCCCCAGGTCTGCAAACTACAGACTTTATTCACCTTCTGCATTTGGACTAGGGCCTCCATCTTCTGATATCCCTTCAACTGTGGATTTCTCTTAGTCATAGCCTTCCCCGAGGAAAAAAAAAAAAAAATCAGCGTACCAAGTGATTCAGATGGCACAGGCAGCATGAAGGCAACCCAGGCTGCACTATATTTAGCTGGCTGTGACACAGCCGGCTTGTTTATGGTCCCAGAAACGCTCCCAGCCGATAGATGCAGTATTTCCAAGCGGACGCAGCCTTTAAGGAGGAACCGCATTTTGTCCTTGAGCACCAGGTTTTTCCTGCACGCTGCCGGCAGCGTAAGTGCCGATGTTTAATTGCTGACCCAACTAATCCACCACGGATGGCTTTGCCCTGCTGCAGATTAATCCCAGGGCCTCCCGCTGCACCCGCCACGGTGCTTTGCATGAGTCCTCAAAGCTGGATTTTTGGGCAGGATTTGCTAAAATCCATCCTGCTTTGCTGCAAAAATATGGTGGCAGCCTGGGGGCTGTGTGGAAAAGGGAATTGCTGGACCGTAGTGGTGGAGAGTTTGGTACCCAGATGTGCCGCTCAGGTTTTGGGATCAAAATTGGGCTATCAGGGCTCGTGGGCTTGGTGCCAACACTGCGGGGTCGTGTTTTACCGCACCCCCAGCTCTGCTCAGGTGCCTGAAATTCACCTTGCAAAGGGAATTAGCATCACCAGCCTGCGAGGGATGTAGCAAAGAACCTAACCTAAGCATCTATAATGAATGGCTGGACCCAAAGGGGTGGCTGCTCCCCTCCCGAGATGCTCTGGAGATGGGGAGATGTCTGAAACCGCTGTGGAGCTGCTCACAGGGGTCTGATCTTTGCTGGGTCTGTGGCGTCCTGCAGCACTCAGATTTGGAGAAGAAAAACCTCTGGCTGTAGGGAACACTGTCTGGAAATCCCAGCTGTGGCTGTACTGGACTGAGATACTGTAATTTCCATCCACTGTAAAAATCAGGTTATAGATGCTTTTTCAGGGGTGGATAAAGCAGCTGTGGGAACCTCTCAACATTAAAATGCTATAAATATTACTTTTTATTATTTTTACTAAATTATAAATAATATTTTATGAACTCTTACAGTAGTTTACATGACAATACTGTATGAGGCCCTGTTTTGATAGGCACTGTATACAATATATAGAATTCTTTCTCCTGAATAAGTTCTTGTTTTCAGTAACCAGAAATAATAAGGATGGGAAACGGTATCATTTACATCCCTGAATCATGGCTGGGAGGCAGAGAGATGGAGAAATGGGATGTGCAGAACAAAATCATGCAGGGAGACTGAGGTGAAGGCCAGGATTTTCTCCAAATCCTCTGAAATGGGGTTTTTGCTGTGCAGGAAACTAGTGAAGTTTATTCCCTTCC